ATAATTTAAGATTTAATTACTGCAACAGAAAATAATTTTTTTCAAACAGACTTCCTTTATTTTAGGAATTTAAATTTAAAACTATTAACACAGAGGCTCAAGCTCTTTAAGTATTGGAACATTTTTTTAAGATATTTTTTAGGTATAAATTTTTTATTTTGAAACACTTACATACGTACAATGATGAAATACAATATAATTTTAAAATCGATTAATTTAAAATTACTTAAAAACCCATATATATTTTACAACTCATGCACACAGGATTGATGTAGTACAACTGCCTCCCAATCGGAATGCGCTTCCACTCTTTTAGGTATAAACTATATTTTTAATAGGAACACTTTCATTTGTTATAATCCTATTAAAAAAAACCCGAAAGCTAAATCTCGGTCTTTTTTACCCCTTTTTTTTTTGTTAGTGCGCACTAAAAGCAACATTTCCATGATTAATTTAGGGGGAGCCTATTCCACAATAGGATTTGTGAATTATTAGTTCCCAATAGCCAATCAGGTCTAAGAAAGCTTCAATGTTTGGAAATTTTTAAGTCGAGTATGGACCAGTTTTCAATATTCAACCGTCATATCTTCCATTAGCAATCTGCAATAATGCAATCCTAATCACATGACATAGTAGGTGACTTCTTCAATTTCATTTTATCTTCCACTGCCCTGCCCACACAATGCAAAAGACCCGCCGGCCTAATTAACTCATTGTCTTCTCTCTCCAGAAACTCCCTTCTCATACACAGTTACTCTGCCATGGCTACCAATTCAGTCCCAAGTGATCTCCCTCTACAAGACAAAGTAGCCATAGTCACCGGAGCATCTCGAGGCATCGGCCGAGCCATTGCTCTTCATTTGGCCTCTCTTGGAGCAAAAGTTGTCATCAACTATTATTGTAAAAAGGAACTAGCTGACCTTGTGGCAGCTCAGATCAATTCTTCTCCCACTAGTGCCAGCACTCCAAGAGCCGTCTCGGTCCAGGCTGATGTTGCCGATCCCACCCAGGTCAAGTCCCTCTTTGACACTGCTGAACAGGTATTTCACTCAGATGTTCATATCCTGGTCAACTCAGCCGGAATTGCGAATCCTAAGAAACCCAAACCCACCATAGCCAACACTTCCGTGGAGGATTTCGACAGAATTTTTGGGTAAATCTATGCTAAAAAACAGCTA